ATTAAAAAAAATTTTTAAAAAGAATACAAATAATAATAAATGTTGGCCAGGCAGAGGGCACACACCTGAATCCTAGTGACTTGGGACGCTAAGCAGGAGGATCACAAGTTCAAGGCCAGCCTTGGCAACTTTGTGAGGCCCTAAGCAACCTAACGAGACCCTGTTTCAAAATAAAAAATAAATTTAGGGCTGGGGTTGTAGCTTAGTGGTGTAGCGCTTGCCTCATACAGATGAGGCCCTGGGTTTAATCCTCAGTACCAAATAAAAATAAATAAATGGAATAAAGGTATTGTGTCCATCTACAACTAAAAAATTTGTAAAAAAGGCTGAGGATTTATCTCAGTGTTAAGCACCCCTGCATTCAATCTCTGGTACCAAATAATAAATAAATAAATATGCTGGCCAGGGTGCAGGGGAAAAGGCACAATGATATGTTGTTGGTGAGACTGCAAATTTGTACACCTTTGGAAAGCAACACGGAAAATCCTCAAAAGACTAGGAATGGAACCACCAGCTAATCCACTCCTTGATATTATCCAAAAGAACCAAAGTCAGCATTCAGCAGCATTACAGGCATGTCAATGTTTAGAGCAGCACAATTCACAATAGGCAGGTTAGGGAACCAGCCCAGGTGCTAGCTCATCAAGAGGTGGGTGGATGAAGAGAACGTGCCGTATAGACACACCACACGGCGGCCTACTCGGTGGTGTAGAGTGGTGAACTAGTGGCATTGCTGGTGACGGGGTGGAGCGGAGGGCCAGGTGAGACTAGCAGACTCCGACGTCACAGGTGGGATGGCTTCGCTAACACGGGGAAGCTAGAGAGAGGTAAGGGAGTGAAAGGGGACCCCATGGCAACAGGGAGGCTGTGCAGCAGAGACGGGGAGCAGAGGGGCAGAGCCCTGGCCTCGACAGGCACCAGTGCGCCCACACTGACCCGGCTCGCACAGCCGTCATGCACCAAGGAGACATCCACACCATAAGGTAAACGGTGAATGAGAACTAAAACGGGTCGGGGACACAGCTCGGGGCAAGAGTGTCCCCGGCTCAGGCCCCAGTACTGGGGGTAGCTCTGGGGTAAAGCACTCCCTAGCATGCACGAGGGAGCGAGGGAGCGTCGTGGGTGTGATCCCAGGCAGGGAGGCAGGGAGGCAGGGGGGGAAGGGGCGGGCAAAGAAATAGTCTCCCACTCCCTGTGTCCTTCCTGCCCCTGCTGGCCCCCCACCTCTCCTCCAGGCTGTGAGGGCCCTTCCCAAACTGAGAATTTGAAAGCACTAGAATTTGTGCAGTGTTCAGGGGGTTGGGTCCCTTGGGCAGTCGAGTGTGGGAGCCGAGGGCTGAGGGGCGGGAGTCAGTGCTCAGTGGGCCAGAGCTCCAGTGGGGACCGGGAAGACGGGGAAGTCCCGGCGATGGCTGGCAGAGTCCGCTGGACCACTGTGAAGCTGCGCTCTAAGAATGGCAAAGACGGTGGATTTTCAGCACAATGAACAATTCTCTGGATGAAGTGGAGTAAAGAGCAGATTTGAAAGCGCGGGGAAAAAGTTACTATAAATGCATATTAGTAGAAAGTAACCAAAATTAAGTTGGAGGGAAAGAAATCAAAAAAGAACAAAGGTGAGCAGAGCTTCAGAGGCCTGTGGGGTGACATGAAGCAGCCTGAGACAGAAAGACCCACAACAACCAGGGAGCTCAGAACACGCATCTCAAAACAGGGTCACAACGGTCCCCAATCTGCCAGGTGCAGTGGCAAAGTGGCCTGTGATTCTAGCTACTTGGGAGGCTAAGACAGGAGGAAAACAGGTTTGGGGCCAGCAACTTAGCAAGACCCTGTTTTAAAGTTAAAAACAAACAAACAAACTTTTTTCAGGCTAAAAGTGCATGTTTCAATATTTTCAAAATTTACAAATCACTATCTCTCAGAAGCCACAGAAAATTGAAAGGAACAAACTCCTTTGAAAATAATATAATTTCACTGCTGTCACTACAGTGTCCCCCAGAAATAGGATTGAAGTAAACACTTAAAAAGGGTGGGGAATAGCCAGGCACGATGGTACACCCTGTGCTCCCAGCAGTGTGGAGGCTGAGGCAGAGGATCAGACCAGCCTGGGAACTTAGGAGGATCTATGCCGAGTCAGCTGGGGTGCAGCAGGACCTTCGCTGCCCGACCAACCCCTCTGCCTCTCTGAGCTGCTGAGTTATCTGATTCCAGGACCACTGGTCTGACACACAACCTCCTGCCGTGGAAATCAGCACTGCCCCCATCAGCAGTGGTGATGTCCTTGGCACCCATGACTCTGCATGGCCAGCTCCAGGGGACCAGGCCCACTGACCTAGATTGCTAGCCATGCCCACCGACCCTCGCCTCTGTACCTTCCCTGTGTGGCCTTAAAGCTGGCACCCAGAGAACAGCCTCAGACCTGCCTTCCCAGTGGGACACACTGAGAACAGACTCCTGCCTCCTTCCCCAGCCCTTTCTGCCTAGTTCTGCTTTGTGCAAATGGCTGGGCCTCATCTGTTGGGACCTCCCAGGTCCCTAGCTGTGGCCAGGACTCTAGTAACAGGATACCTATTCTGGTCTCTGGGAGCGTTCGTGAACCTCTGAACCAGAAGCACCCTACCGCGGTCCACCCTGGGCTGTAAGTAAAGGTGGACAGCACCCCATCCTGAAGCTCTGCGTTGGAAGCCGGTGTCCGGCAGGCCGAAAGGCAGCCCGTGCAGCAGAAGTCCCTGGCCGCCTGGCCGCCTGCCTCCCCACTCTCCTGCCTGCCGCACAGAGGCAGCACCTGCTGCTCCGCGGGGCTTGCCTCTGCACTGGCGCTGCTTTGCACGCTGCTCCACTCTGGCACCAGGCATCAGCACCCGCCTCTGCACAGAGTGGTGAGCACCAAGCAGAAGCTGTGGTTGTGACCTCTGAGCCGAGTCAGGCAGAGGGCGAATCCTGCACTGGCCTCAGAGAAGCCTCCAGAACCCAACTCCATGCCCCCTGCTCCCCGACCTCCTCAGCACCTGGCGGCAGCCACTGCTCCGGCGCTGCTGTCTGTGGGAGCAGGCTTCTGCCGTCACCTCATGCAGTGCTGTCAGCCAGGAGCTGCCACGGCCTCTCCCCACTGCACCCTGGCCCTATCAGAGCTGGACAGTCTGCAGAGGGCCTCTGGGCACCGTCTGTCTCCAGGGCAGCTCAGGCTCAGTGGGAGCCTCCACGCTGCAGCCGCGGGGTCTCAGCGGGGCCTGGGTCCGAGACGAAGGGTGTTTCACAGGTGGGACGTGACTGTTTCTGATCCCAGCCCACTTCCAGGTCTCGCTTTTTCACGAAGACCAAGCCAGAGACAGACCCCGACCAGGCCCCGACGTCTCCTTCTGGTGGCCAGCCAGGGGCGGGAGAACACTGACAAAAACGAAAGCCTCCGTCTCCTCCCCGGGGCAGTGAGGCGCAGGCTGCTGCTGCTGCCAGCCCCCAGGCACTGTGTGGCGAGAGGAAGATGCCCCCTCGTCTGCCCCTGGTCACCCTGGAAGGGGCCTGAGCCTGGCCATGGTGTCTGACTCTACCCCTGGGGCTCGCTGCCCACGGCGTGTGTCCAACATGCTCTCCTGGGACTCTGACTGAGTGTGGGGACAGCATCTGCCCACAGGGGAGGGAAGAGGCCCTGGTGGCCAGTCTGGCCCTGCCTTCTGCTGCTGAGCTCCCATGCACCTCGCTGCCCGCAGCAGGGCCACAGGCGAGCACCCAGCACCAGGAGCCGAGAGGCCGGAGCCGGCCCAGGGCTGCCCTGCCAGGAGGACGGCCTGCTACCAAGAGCTCGAGGAAGAGGCACGCTGGAGTGCAAGGCTCCTGCCTGCCCTCAGCCTCCCTGGCTGACCGTGGGCAGCAGGGGAGGGAAGACCTAGGAGGCAGGTCTAGGCCCCACCCAGAAAGGTCCCCCGAAGCACTGCAACAGGGGAAGTGGCTGTCCCTCAAGGGACATAAGTGGCCTCAACATGTTCTAAGAAGGGTCATGCTAAGTGCAGCCTCACCCTCCAGTGGATGCAGGTGAAGACGGCTTCTGAGCCTTGTTCCCAAACCAGATTCCTGACCCCTGCCTGGGGACCCTGCCCCTGCCCCTGCCTGGGGACACAGATTGCCCGAGCAGGATGAAGCAGGCTGACAGATGTGTGTCACTGACCACAGTGGCACAGGCTTAGTGCTCAACAAGTATTGACCACTATCGTCCCCGCCAATCAACACCAGGAGCTTCAAGGACAACACGGCATGAAATGACCCGCTATGTGGTATGAGGAAAAGACTGGGATGATAATTCTGCATCAACATCCTCTGTCCAGTCATATTTGGGATTTTGTTCTTTTTCAGCACTGGGGACGGAACCCAGGGTTCTCCTCAAGCTAAGCCTACGCCTGTGACCTATCCCTGGGCTACACCTCCAGCCTCAAGTTGCATTTGAATTCGGGGCTTTTAGTGCTTTCAAATGCTAAAGCACTAAAAGCCCCCATCTGCGATCCCAGTGACCAGGAGGCTAAGGCAGGAGGCTAGCAAGTTCAAGGCCAGCCTCAGTAACCTGGCGAGACTCTGTCTTAAATTTTAAATAGAGGGGGAGGGGGCTGGGGGTGTCACTCAGCGGTAGAGCTCCCCTGGGTTAAATTTCCAGCACCAAAAAAAAAAAAAAAAAAAGGCAAAGATACAAAGAAGATTCTGAGGAGCGCTGAACAGTGTACGTACCTATTCTAACTCTTGTTTTTCAGTGCTGGGAATTGATCCCAGCGGCGCCTACATGCCAGGCAGGTGCTCTGTTTAGTTTTTGAGATGGGTCTGGCTAAATTGCAGAGGAGCTTGCAATCCTCCTGCCTCGGCCACCCGCTGGCTTCACTTGAACTCTCCAAAGTCCCACACTCAGGCTTGCTTGACAGCCAGTCACTGAGGGGACAGGACTGAAAGGCCCACTGTGGTCTGGCCACGGGGCACTATTCGCGGTATCTGCTGCGCAGGAAGCTGGGAGGAAGTGTGCTCACCTCCTTCACAGGGAGGAGTCCCTGTGCCTGCAGCGCCTCCACAGCCTGGTCCCGCTCCAGGGTCACGGCCCTCAGCACCGCCTCCTGCTCACGCAGGGCCCGCTCAGTCTCCTGGAGTTTGGCAGTGACCTGGGAAGACATCCCTGGTGGAGACGGGCAGCACTGGCCACAGTTCCTGAGACCAGCCTCCGCTTTCCACTTAAGAGGCAAATGGCAGGTGCAGGTGAGAAAAGTCCTGAGGGCCGGTGCCACCTGGCACTCAGGACTCACGGCCATGTCTGCGGAGGCAGGCAGCGGACTTCCACCTTCCAGGCCTGGCCACCGGGGTGCCCTCGCCAGGAGGGCAGCCCACAGGAGGCAGGACCAGTCCCACCCTGTACCAGTGCACACCGCAACGTGAGGACCCGCTGCAGGGGCGGCAGGGGCTGCAGGGGCGGCAGGGCACGGTCATAGCTGCTCAGCGAGGCCTCTGCCAGGCACTGCCCGTGCTCCCGGTCCTCCTCCTCCAGAAGCCCCTCCTGGAGAAGCCTGCGCCCCGCAGCACCACACACACCTGATCTCTGGCCTCCAGCAGGCCCTGGGTCAAGGCCTCAGACCTCTGGATCTGCTCCCTCTCGATGCTGTCGCAGCGGCGCTGCCAGTCTAGGTTCAGCTGCACCTGGTCGCGCCCCAGGCTCCTCTCCCTTTCCACTGCCAGGGACAGTTCCTGCTTGTACCTGTGGCACATCCAAACGCCCACATTAGCGTGGCTTGAGGTTCCTTCCACATGAAGAGCAGAGGTGGGGTGCCTCCTGCGGGGCTCCACTGCACCCGCCACGGGACGGGCTTCAAGACTCGGAGGAGAAGCGGCATCTGCAGACGGCCAACAACATGTCTGCAGATGGCAGATGGGCAGATGTCAAAGATCACCCAACACTGAGAAAACCCAACGCCGCGAAGGGTGGTCACACTCAGGAGACAAGTTCCAGGTGTACAGGAAGAGAAGGGGTGGCCCTAACAGACAAAAAGCTGCGCTGTCCGGGCCCTGCGAGGGCAGCAGGCGAGCAGCAGCAGGACCGAGCCCCAGCTGCCGCCAGCGCGGCAGAGCAGAGACAGGCCTGTGTGGCACGAGGGGGGCCTGCGCCGGCCGCCGGCAGTGTTCAGGGCAGAGACCACCGTCCAGGTGAGGAGCCGGTTCTACCAGAGAAAGGCCAGCTGTCGAGAAGCCAGGACGAGGCCGAGTGCCCTCGCTTGGCCAAGAACTTCACTCCAGTGGCTGAGGCGACGCTGGAAAGGGGATCCAGTCACAGCTACAGATTTCCGGGCCTCTCTCAGCTGCTGGCCAGAAGATGGCCATGAGGACACCAGAGACAGAAGGCGCCCCCGCCCCAGGGCCTGTGTGCAGTTCTCTGCCTGAACCTACAAGGACTGAGCCTTCTCCAAGGGGCTAGTCACTGGGCCGGAGCAGGATTCAAAGCCACAAGACCGAGGAGCAGAGGGGAGCAAGCAGATCAGACTAGAAACAGAAGAAAAGGGCGCTCAGAAACCTCAGAGTGATGGGAAAGGAGGCCACCCTTCCTGAACTGCGGAGACACAGAATGCGAGCCACCACACCGCGTCTGCACGGCGTCAGAACCGTGGGGTGCAGCTGAGCTCTACTCCAGCCCCAGAGGGTGCTCAGAACTGCCGTCGGCTCCTGCCGTCAGGGTCCATGGGAAACACAGCAAGCCAAACGAACCCAAGGAAACGGACAGAGCGAGCGCCATGAAACTGGAAAGAGAACAACAGTGAGAAGGTTAAGACAAAAACAAAGCAAAGACTGACAGATCAGCAGCCCCCGAGTAGGCTGATGGAGAGGAAAGAGAAACTGGAAACCGGTACCCAGACGAGCGCGGCTGACACTCACCTCCCATGTATTCAAAGCATAATAAAGGGCCACCATGGGCAGTCTTGTGCCTTCAAGGTAACAGCCAGGTGAAATGGACGGACACAAGTCACCGAGTGGACGTCGGAAAAACAGAAAAGGGAAAAGGGGAAGCGAATCGTGTGCCTCGGACACTTCCGCAGAGAGAAGCACAGCCTGTGCCTGCAACACCCACTCCTCTCAAAAGAGGGTGCTAAGTCAAAAGAAGCCAGATACAAGACCAGCGCCGTGGACTCCAGCGCCGGGAACTCGGACCAGGCTGCTCCTCTGCAGACAGAGCCCACCGTGGGGGCTGAGGAGCCTGGGGTGGCTGTGTGGCGGTGACAGGCCACACAGCTGTGCAGTTGGAGTGGGCACGTCCACTACATCCGAGTTACTCTCTGTGAAGCTGACCTTACAAACTACAGAGAACAGCACCCAGTGGAAAGCTGGAGGAACCCCAGGACCCTAACCACCACGCCAAGGACACAGGCAAGGCCCGCACAGAACCCTGGGCTCAGGCCTGCTGGGCTCTGCTGCTGGAGGAGGCCCCCGCGTGGCCCTGGGCACGCCCTGCCACCCTCCTCAGCCCCTCACTACCACGCTGTTTTCTGCTTTCTCGTTTCTCCTCAAAGAAGGCCAGGCCAGGACTGGTCTGTGCAGCTGGACTCCTCAGGACTGGAGTGGTTCCTGCCTGCAGCAGGCGCTCACAGAAATGGCTGCCCTGGGGACATTACCTGGCCACATCCTGCTGGCGTCGGGCCAACTGTGCCTTGAGCTTCACCTCCTCTTCCCGCAGTGTCTGAACCTGAAGGTCTTTGGCGATGGCCTCCTTGGACATCTGAGTGACCTGGGCGTCCCAGCTGGCTTTGAGAGCAGCTGCGTCTTCACGGAGCCTGGACGGAAGGCCCGGGGATGCGGTGTGCTTGCCACTTGTCCCCCTCCACCCCTCGGCACTTCTGCACATCAGCTCTTCAGGAACACCAGAGCCCACGTCCCCACCTGGACCCAGGCGACGGTTCTACCCAGAAGGACTGCCAGCCAGCCAGCCCAGCTACCAGACATCGCTGAACATAGTACATATAGGGATGTGTCCTGCAAGGCCACCCGCTGGAGGTGGCCCTGTCCAGCCACCGCATTTCTGCAGCCCTAGCTATGCCCAGCACAGCAGCTCACACACGAGGACATGCGACACACAATTTCAGACTGAGCCTAAGACGAGGCTCCACAGGACACCTTGCAGGAGCACACAGCATAGTCCCAGGTTGCTGGGTTCAGTGCCAGGCGTCCCCCCGACTGCTGCTTGAACTTGACTGGGAACAGGGAGAGGCACACCCGGGGAGGTTCTCCTGCGCAGCCCCCACCCTGCGTCTCACAGTCCCAAGAGGCATCTTCCTCTCAACTAAGAATACAACTGAGCAGAGAATGCTCGGCACAAAAGAGAAGTCCCAAGAGGTTCTGAGCATCAGCAAATGCCTGATGGGTCCTCAATGTCTCTGTGAACATGGTGTCCAAGGGTCACCGCAATGGCTTCCTTGGAGACACCTCTCCCTGGAAACTGGGCACAACTGGACAGAGCTGCTAACCTGCCACGGCTTGGCTTGAATATCAGAAAGGAACTGGGCTCAGTGGAAACAATGTGCGCGCTGGTGGGGAGAAGACAGCCCTGTGGAAACCGAAAGGGGTGACTCCAAAGGTAAGCGCAGGGTCACACGAGCTGCAGCTGCACACCTGGGCAGAGTCCCAGAAAGACACAGAGCTAAAGGTGGAAAGGACCCACATGTTAAGCAACAGGTGGGTGACACGCGGTGCTGCCATACAGAGGACAGGGCCGCCTTACTGACCACGAGCTGTGACCCTCAAGTCACTAAGATGGTTCACGTTGTGTGTCTATTTTTTTTTGATCCTGGGGACTGAACCCAGGGGTGCTCTACCACTGAGCCATATCCACAGCCTTCTTTATTTTGAGTCCAGGCATCACCAAGTTACCCAGGCTGACCTCAAACTCTCTCTCTTTTTTAAATACCTTTATTCTATTCATGATTTTTACGTGGTGCTGAGGATGGAACCCAGGGCCCAGGGCCTCGCACAAGCTAGGCGAGCGCTCTACCGCTGAGCCACAACTCCAGCCCCATAACCTCAGACTCTTGATCCGCTGCCTCAGCCTCCTGAGTAGCTGGGATTACAAGTGTGCACCACCACACCTGGCTGAAAATAATAAGTTTTTTTAATTTTTTATTTATTTTTTTAATATTTATTTTTTAGTTGGATACAATATCTTTATTTTGTTTTTATGTGGTGCTGAGAATCGAACCCAGTGCCTCACGCATGCTAGGCGAGCGTGCTACCACTTGAGCCACATCCCCAGCCTGTAAATTTTCTTAAATGATAAATTTTATTGTGCATACTTTACCACAAATGATAAATGCACACTTATGCACACAGAAACTACATATGGGAAAAAACTGAGCCCTGCACAGTGGCACGTGCCTGTCACCCCAGCAACTTAGAAGGCTGAGGCAGGAGGATCGCAAGTTCAAGGCCAGCCTCAGCAACTTAGCCAAGTCCTAAGCAATTTAGCAAGGTTGTGTCTCAAAAGAAAAAAGGGCTAGGATGGGGCTGGGGTTTTAGCTCAATGGTAGAGCGCTTGCCTAGCATGTACGAGGCACTGGATTTGATCCTCAGCGTTGCATAAAAATAAATAAATAAAATAAAGGTATTGTGTCCATCCGTAACTAAACATCAGTGGTGGTGGGGGTGTTCCTGGGATGAAGCTCTGTAGTAGAGCATTCCTGGGTTCAATCCCCAGTACTGCAATCCATCAATCAAACAAGCAAACAGAAATGACACAAGAATCATTAAGAAAAATGACCTGGCAGCTACAGAAGTCACCCACCAGCTGCAGGCCCACCTCCCTCTGTGTGAGGTGGCAGGAGCCCACCCGGGAGCCCAACACCCCAGGGCCCCAGCACCCCTTGGGTGGAGGCAGCAGCAAGCTGTAAGCTCACCTGTCAATGACGGCGTCCTTCTCCCTGGCGGCGTCAGCCCGAGTCCACTCCGCCCTGCGCAGCTGCACCTCCAGGGCTTCACCGTGGGCCTGCAGCTCTAGTACCCTGGCCTCCAGTGCCCGCAGCTGCTCCGCATGTGTGCCCTTCACAGCCACCAGCATCGCGTCCCTCTCCCTGGCCAAACGGTCAAGCTCCTCGTGCCTGAACCACAGGGAAGGGCCCGCCGTGTGTCACCCAGAGCTGCACTCAGCAGCCTTCCCCAGACCACGGTCACGGCTGCGCCTTGTCCCTGAGGTGGTGACTGCTGCCGGGGACATTCGTTACCACTCCTCCCACGTGGCACAGACACTCCTGAGCGCCCCAGGTCAGAGGCGTAAAGCACACACCTGGCTCCACCACCACAGCTCCGGGGACCCCCGAGGGCAAAGCGCAGACAGTAGCCGCCAGCGCTGCGGTGCCCTGCTGCTCAGTGGCCCTGAGAGTCCGTCGTTAGGAAAGCCTGCTTTCCTAACAGGCTGCAAGCTCTGCCTGGCGATTTGGAGCCCCCTCGACATCACCCCAAATGCCATAAAGCACTGGCAAGGGGCGGCCTGCAGCACACGCCTGGCAGGACCCTGTGTCCCAGCAAGGACATGCTTTGCCAGTTTGCCGACTGGGGATATGCTCCCTACTCTGAGACCCAGTCTGCCAGTCTGAGGTCAGCGATGGCATAATTCCTGAGGAGGCAAAGGCACTCCGTCTCCCCAGAGCTCGGCTGGTGCCCTCGGGCGGCAGGCTTTGGCCCTCCCCCCCACCAGCCCCTGGGCATTCCAGGTGCATCCCAGCACAGCAGCAGCAGCAGCATGGGGCGGGGGGCTGGGCGGAGTCTGGCTGGGGCTTCTCACACAATCTCCTAACTGGTCAGTGAAGGGTCCTGCTAACCCTTGGTGAGCAGGTCCCCACCTGCTCTCTGCAGTCACCAAGGTGAGGAGCCCCTCAACTCATCAGCAGACGGGTCGTCTGCCACCATTCTTGCTGGAGGTCACTAGGTGTCTGGTGCATAACCTGGAAGGAGCTGGGACCCACTCAGCTCTGCCAGCCCTGCAGGGACAAGGCCTCAGCCAGGCACGCAGGCTGGCTGGGGAGTCCACGCACCTCACTAGGAAGGCGCTCCCACGGTGCTGTGCATCCCACTTAGTAGTTACTGACCTTATGGTGAACGGTGTTGTCTTGTGGACTGCAGACTAATAATTATACCTTAATTTAGAAACCCTTCACAAGGTCAGCACCTTGTGACCCCAGCAAGTTTGAGTTTTAGTTTAAATATTGTTAGGGTGATTGATTACAAATTTTTACCAGCATAAAAAATATATTCAAGTAATTCCTATGAGGATTGGGAGCATGGGTCCAAGGATTGGGAGCGGGGGTCCAAGGATGAAGGGCATGGTGCAGGGTGCAAGAGGAAAGCCGTGGGTGCTTTCTGAATCAGCGAGGCAGGTGGCAGGTCACCGTGTGTTTAGATGTCCCTAGGTACATTTGGAAGAGTAACCAAACAAGGTTTCTTTCTTTTATTGTGGTTCTGGAGACTGAAATCAGGGCCTCACATGTGCTAGGCAAGCGCTCTACCCCTGAGCTTGCACCCCATCCTTTTCCAATTTTTCATTAAGTTGCCCAGGTCGTGCTTGAATGTAAATCCTCCTGCCGCAGCCTCCTAAGCATCTGGGATTACAGGTGTGGCCCACAGTGACCTGTTCCCTTTTACATTTTGAGATATTGGGGCTGGGGATATAGCTCAGTTGGTGGAGTGCTTGCCTTGTATGCACAAGGCCCTGGGTTCAATCCCCAGCACCACAAAAAAAGAAAGGTCATCTGTAGCTATAAAGTAAAACTGATGAGCTGGTCAATAACATTTCCAGGTTTCAAAAGCTAACTTCTAACTGAGGCTTTGGAAGTGTTCTGAAGTGTCTCCAGTGCTGGGCTCAAGCCCTGGACCTCCAGCATGCTCAGGGCATCTCTACGCTGAGCCAGGCCCCGGCAGCCACTCCACGGGGGGCACGTGCTCTGCTGTGGCCTGCTCCGGGAGGGCTGGCTCAGCTGTGTGACCTGGCTCCGACACGCAGAGAGGCTCACTTCCTCTTGAAGATCTCCTCTTCTTTCTTCCTGGTCAGCTGCACAGAGTGAAGCTTATCCTCCAAGTCCTTTATCCTAAACAGAGGTGACAGCAAGAACAGGTAAGGAGCTAGCAGGACCTGGCCTGGAGCCAGCGAAGGGCAGACCCAGGGGTCCAGCCCAGCAGGCACGCTGCCCGCTGCCCGCTGCCCGGGAGGAGGAGGGCCACCCACCGGGCGTCCTTCAGGGCTTCCAGGTCCCGCAGCTCCCAGGCGCGGCCCTGCAACTGCTTCTCCAGCTCGGCGTTGGCCGTCTCGGCTCTCTGCAGACACTCTGCTGCCTGGGCCCCTGCTTCCTTCAGAGCCCCCAGCTCTTTGCTCAGTAGTTTAACCTGAGGAAGACTTCACAAGTTCAGAGGCGGGCAGCGGGACAGGAGGAGGAAGGACTGCACTCTCTCCAGTGCTGCGTGGCTGTGCTGATAACCGCCACCTGGACGTTTCAGAGCAGTGAACGCAGCGGGCCTCAAGGTCCCCACCACTGGAGGCAACAGGCGCCTGAGGTGGAGATGTGCCAACCTCCCTGTGTGACCACACACGTCACACTACACCGTGTGTCAACGAAACATGTGAACACTCAAAAGGAGGATGCAACTGGAATAAACCGAGACTCCAGAGGTAAACTGCTGCTTCACCAGGAGAGGGCAGCAGCAAACAGGAAGAAGGTCCTCATGCCATCCCGACGAGAATACAGAGACACCCAGGACCTCTGAGGGCCCCTCCCCTGCCCACCTGCAACTGACCAACTAAGACTACTCATTTCTCAACACAAAACTTGATTATCATTCAAATACTGAAATTGAACACAGGGCAAGGCAAGTCAGTGCAGCTCACAGTCCACCCTCTGAGCCCCTCTGAGTGCTGCTCAGATGAGCCCTGGCCTCCCTCCCACCTGTACAAGACGAGTGTGAGGGCAGCTGTTGGGCCAGGGTGGCTGCCAGGCCGGGGCAGCAGTGTCCACATAGGGCAACCCTCTTATGTGGCAGGTACTTGAGGTGTGCTACCTTATGCAGCAGACAGAGCTGAGAGCAGGCACCTCAGGGTCCTCACCTGTGTGCCCGGCCCCATCATAGCACCCAGGACATCCATACGGCCTACCTCTTCTCTCTTTAGGCTTAGAGATCCCCAAAGCAGCCTCGTGAGGATCCCTGTGTGGCAGCCCTGGCCTCAAGCCCCAGACAGCTCTGGGCTCTGGCTGAGAACTTGGCACTGAGCCCCGGGGTGGGAGTGGGGGTCTGGGAGACTTGGGGATAGGCCCTGTGCCTGAGCAGCAGGGGCCAGGCCAAGAGCCACCTACTGTTCCCGCAGCAGGGGCACTCAAGCTGGCCCTTGTGTTCACTCCTCGAGGTGAGCTGTGTCCTGGCACTGTCCGGGGTGCTTAGTCTGTGTGCACACAGTGGCAGCCGCACGCTGCCCCCAAGCAAGGCTATGGCTGCAGCTGGGCCACGCATCAGTTGCTAGCTCCAGGCAGGCCCTGACCCCCTGAGCCTTGGCTTCCAAGGCTTGCGGTAAAGTGGGGAGACCCCCACCAGCCCACGTTGAGAAGGCCGACAGCAGGGCAGGCTGCAGGAGGCTGGGAGCTGACAGTGGAGGGAGGGCACCCTCTCAAGGCCTCAGGGTGCTGGACTGAGATGGAGAGACTGACGGAGGCGGCACCACAGAGCCTGCTGCAGTCTTTGAGTGAGCTGTCTGGCTCGCAGGGCAGAAGTCGCCCGCCACTCAGGAAGAGGTGTCCCTGCTGATGAGGACAGCTTTCCCAGCCAGAGGTGCAGTACCTTGAGCTCATGGGACAAGACCACACTGCTCATGCCATCCGCCTGCAGTCGGAACTCATGCTCCCTCTTCTGCATTTCAGACTCGAATTCTAGCAGCAGTTCCTGAAACAAAAAGCACTCACACTGAAAGGACAGCGGGGCCAGCACATCTAGGTCAGGGTAGGTGGACACAGCCGTCAGCTGCCACTGAGAAGTCAGGGGCCCATGGGGGAGCACTGGTGGGCCATGGCCACCGCCCGGACCTCCTGCCACAGCGCACCGGAGCACAAGTGTTTGCACGAACAACTCAAAGGCCAGTGCTGGGAGGGTCTACGGTCTGAAGGTGGCCTGCCCCCACTCACCCATGGGCTGGAAGCCTGAGCCCCACTGCGGCAGCACTGGGGTGGCCTCTGGATGATGAGTGCCTGGGGCCCTCAGAGGGCTGCCACAGCTCTCACAGGCAGGGACTGGCTCCTACAGTTCCTTTGTAAAGGACAAGCCTGGCCTGCCCTGGTCTCTTGCTTCCTGGTTGACCACATGCCCCTTCTGCTCATGTCCCCTGTTGATTTTGCCAACATGTTGTGACCAGCCAGAGGGTCTTCTCCAGATGCCAGTGTCAGGCTGTGGAGCCTCCAGCCACGTAAATCGTGAGCCAAGGGAACCTCATTTCCTCACACATTACCCAGCGCCAGGCACCCTTAGAACATCAGAGCAGGGACTCAGACACTGTGACATGGCTGCTTTGCCCTTTCGCTGGGTTTTGCTCGGCGCAGAGGGAAGGCCCTGGGTGTAGGTGGAGCACTAGCTGCTCAAGGACTGAGAATGACAGCACAGGGACCCTCAAGAGCTTGCCCACCCGAGCCTCCCTGAGGACCTCCAACTCCTACCAAACTCAGTGCCCTGGAGGGAGGGTTCTGTCTGCTCCCACCCTGCTAAGTACCCTCTGCCCTGGCAGGCAGGATGCACATGACCACCTGGCAACGCAGGGGCAACCTCTGCGCCAGCAGCGGTGCACCCTGAGTGTACATGAGCCAAGTGAAACGGGCAGGAAACAGTCCTAGCTCGTGCAAGGGCCCACACACAGGGGCCACATCTGGACAGACAGGCTGTGGCCACTAGGGGGCAGGAGACCCACACCACTGTGCCTCGCCGGCCCAGACAGAACCACAGCCAGGCTCCCCTTGTGGGCCATCCCAGCCCACCTCAAGCTGCTCCCTGCACGGTCCTCTCCTGGGACGCCACACCAGCCTGTCTGACCAGGCTCTGGCACCCCCACTCAGCCCAACTTGTGCGACGTCCCCTGGTTTCCCCTGTTGGTGCACCCTGTCCTTGCCAGCACGGCCCCATCCCCTGGGCCCTCCCAGCACCCCACCAGCTACTTCTGCCGCAGCCTGCTGTCCTTGAGCTGGGCGACTCACACTGCTCTGCTCAAACCAGCAATTTCTCAGGTCATCCTCACAAAGGCCTGAGGCCGGCAGGCCTGCCTCCACCTCCGTGCTCCTGGGCTTGACGGCTCCCTTCGAGGTCCCAGCTTGGAAGTGCCTGCCTCCCTCCCCCTGAGCCACCCTGCAGCTCTCAGGGGGCCTTTCTGACTGCCCTGTTCAGAAGTTGTGTGCCACCCCACCTTGGCACTCCTGAGCCTTCCCTGTGTCCGCAGCAGGCAATGCCGTTGGCCAGGCCAGGGCGACAGATGCTGCAGAGGCTCAGGGGGTCACCTACACTTCAGTGTCAGCCTGCTCTGTGAAGACAGGTGAGTCCAGGCACGTCCAGGGGTTCACACTCAACTCCAGAACATGGGAGACCTCCAGGCATGTAGTTTGTGTTTAAAAACAAAAAAAGCTTGTTATATGAATGAATAAATCAGTAATCATCTGGTGCCTCCTCCAGTGGCTCCTCGCCTGCGACTGACCAACGGGCAAAGACTTCCTTCCTCCAGAGACCGCAGCTTGCATGTATGACCAAGGTGACAGACCTCCCAGTACCACCACCTCACTTCAGAGTTCAGGACAAGAACCGTCATCCTCACTGGATAAATTCCACCCTGACCCACCCATGACCACACCAAGAGCTTCTGAGGTCAGAGACAGCACGGCAGGCTGGCCAGCATGGGAGACCCCCACTTGATAGTGGAGACTGACGGTGGGGCGTCATCACAGGCCACCCCAGAGCCACCCTGGGCTGACACTACCCAGGAGAGACCCCCTGCATGTGTCAGCACGTCCCCTTTTCCTGCTTCCAGGGACGGGCTGCCAAACCTCAAGGGATAGGAACTATGTAGGGGTCTGTAGGAGACCACCAGAACGTGCCTGCTTGGCCTAAGCGTTTCTTCTGCAGGTGGGCAGCCTGGGAAGCCAAATGCCAGGGGGCAGCGCCTGACTGCCTGCCCGCCTGCCAGTGGGAACCAGCCCTGGATGGAGCTTCTTTGGAGGTGACCGTGGCACCACTGAGGAACCCTGTAACTCACAAGTCACAACCCGTCTTCTCTTAACCACACATTTCAGGGCATGTGGCTCTCCAGAGCGCTCAGCCACCGTCTGTGGGAGGCCAACCTTACCGGTGACTGAGTTACACTCCCCAGCTGGGTGCTGAGGCGCTCAGTCACAGAAATGGGTGTGTCTTGCTGCAGCCCCATGGGTGAAGCTATGCTCACCTGTTCCTTTGTAATATAACCCCTTGTCCTGTTTAGGATAGAATCTTCCATGGAAGTGCCTTGTGTGTGTCCCCTCCTCTTACTGTGCCCTTGAGTGTGGCCTACCCAGGTGTCAGTCAACCTGCTGACAGTGGACATCATGAGGATAGACTCTGCCCCCTGAAACCTGACCCCTGGCCTCATTTGAATAGCTTCTCCTCAATAAAAGGGGTCAGCACGTGCTCTCTCTCTCTCTCTCTTCCTGCGGACCCTTAAGGTCAGAGGAGCCGTCACAGCAACCCCAAAGAAAAAGGTCTTTGTGTCTCTTGTGTGGTCATTTCGTGCAGCCCAGTGAGCCCAGTTTAACTAGAGTGACCCCTGAGCCTTTCAGTCTCGAGAACAGAAACTGGCAACCGTCCCCTCCCTGAAGACGCACTGGCCCATCCCCCTGGCGGCACGGTGCTGCAGGACCCAGTGGGAGGCAGAAGAGCGGAGTTCCAGGGCCTGCACCTCTGAACTGCGGGGGCCTGGGGGGCACGCCAAGCTGCCCCTTCCCAGGTGGAGGCTGTGTCGCTGCGTCTGCTTCCCCCACAGCCAAGGAAGAGGCAGAAGGCCCAGTGCACCTCTTCAGATCGGAGGCCACCTACTCCCCACTGGAAGTGTCACTCTGGCCCACTTACTGAGCAGCCTGAAGGCACCATTTTGAGTGAGGCCAGAGCAGGAGAAGGCTCTGAACAAGAGAGGTGGCTCTGCCACCTGGGCCTAGTGTCCAGCCCTCGCACTGGGGCCTGAGGGCAGTGGCAGACACGGGTGCTGCCAGGGGCTTTGGCAGCCTCTGCCTTGAGGGCTGGGGAGTGGGGCCTGCTGCCATCCACAGACAACGGCTCTCCTTCCGAGAGAGCTCTTGGCTTGCTACTGGCACTCACAGAGCTGAACACTCGAACTGGGTTGGGGGTCTGGCCCGTGCACTAACAGACCATCATCAAACAGAAATGGTGTCCACATGGTCAGGCCCCAGCAAGCTGAAGACACAGGGCAGTTATGGGAAGGAGCGGCCCAAATGCCCATCGCTCCCACGTCTGAGCCCTGCCTTTTCTCTCCCAGCCTGCACCTCTGGCTCAGGGGCGTCTCTATCAGCCCTTGACCCAGAAAAGGATGGCTTGCACCTGGTCAATAGATGGTCTGCATGACCTGAAAGTGGACAGCTACAGCATAAGGACATCTCTGGGATGTCCGTGAAGGACAGTGGTCAAGGGAAATCCTCCAGTGGGCAGAACCAGGCTCTCTGCCTGGGAACCCTGTGCAACCCAGGTTTGCAGCGGGCAGCGGGGGCGGCAGGCACTACCTGTCTCTGCAGAGCAAGCTCGCCGTCCAGTTCCTCGAGCTTCCTCTCCAGCCTCCACTTGAGATTCTCATACTGCTCCCGCTGGTGGCTGATCTCACCGTTCTTGTCACTGTGGTAACCAGACACAGCACTGAGAGACCACACCACACATGCTCACAGGCACCCCTGCGCATGCAGCTGGTGCTTCACATTTGCACAGGGATACAGTGGGCAGAGGTAGCAGGACCTCTACTTCACCTGGCCAGGTGACCGCCAGCAAGAGAGAAAGCAAAACATGGAAACCCCAAATCCCTTGACTTCCAGGACTCAGGCAACGTCTTTGTCAATAGTGGCCGACACCGCCAGGCACGGTGGCGGACACCGCCAGGCACGGTGGCCACGCCTGCAATCCCAGTGGCTCAGGAGGCTGAGGCAGGAGGGTTATAAGCTCAAAGCCAGCCTCAGCAAAAGCGAGGCGCTAAGCAACTCAGTGAGACCTGCCTCTAAAAAAAACACAAAACAGGGCTGGGGGTGTGGCTCGGTGGTCCGCTGCCCCTGAGCTCAATCCCTGATACCAAAACCGTCCCCCCCAAAAAAAACCCAGTGGCCAACACCAAGATGACACCGGTGTGAACAAGCAATCAAAAAAAAAAAAAAAAAGAAAAGAAAAGAAAAACACAGAAAATCTCAGCAGAGAAACAGATATAACAAAAGAATTCAATGGAAATTTGAGAACCAAAAAGTACCACGACCAAGATAAATGATTCCCTGGGTGAGTTCAGGAGCAGAATGAATATGACAGAGGACAGAACGAGTGAACTTGGAATCACCTCATCTCAACAAAGGAAAGAAAATAAACTTGAAGAAACAAAACGAGTAGAGGCCTAGGGACCTGCGGGACAGTGACAAGGCCTACCACTCATGCTAGTGGGACACCAGGGTGGGACTGGGCCAGCGTGGGGCTGGGCCAGCGTGGGGCTGGGCCTGGAATCCCAGCTCTGGAGGGACACGTCACAGAAGAGCAGAGCACTTCTACCCATTCGTTCAATTCGTTTTTGGTGTGAGAATTAAACCGAGGGGCACTTCACCCCTGGGCCACACCCCAGCTTTTTTTTTCTATTTTTCATTCTGAGACAGGGTCTTGCTAAGTTGCCCAGGTGGCTTCAAGCCTGGGAGCCTCCTGCCTCAGCCTCCGGAGTTGCCGGGGTCACAGCGTGAGCCACCACGCCCAGCAGCTCCTTGAGTTTCGAAATCAACGTCTATTTCACATTAATCACAGACTTAAATGATGCATTAAAATCGCACCGACCTCTAGTTAGTGAATCAAGTTCTGAGTACCTGAACCAGATCCTGGGTAACTTCAGAGCCGCGTGAAAACCCAGAAGGAGGCCTTCCAGGCCCTGCCCTACCTGCCTTTGCGCATCAGGCACTGGCCACTGAGGCCCGAGCCCTGAACCGGCTCCTCAGCTCGGGGCGGGGTGCGGGCGGGCGCAGCGGGCTCACCTGTGGACGCGCTCCAGCTCCTGGCGGTGCTCCTGCGCCCTGCGCTGCTGCTGCTGCTGCAGCTCCTGCGCGCGCCTGGCCTCTCGGGCCAGCTCCTGCTCCAGCCTGGCCACCTGCACCTTCAGCGCGCTCACCTCTGCCTGCCGGGCCTCCTCCTGGCCCCGGGCCTGGGCAAGCGCAGCGTCATAGTGCTCCAACTCCAGGTCCCGCTCCTCCAGCACCCGCAGGTTGTACAGGAAGTCCTCCTGCAGGCGACGCAGCTTCCCCTGGGCCTCTTCCAGCTGCTTGTGTGCACCCTGCAGAGCTGCCTCCTGCATCTGGGAGTGATGGGCCTGCAGCACCCGCCACTCCTCCTCCTTGCGGCTCAGCATCTCGCTCAGGGTCCTCTCTGAGCACAAGGGCAGCATGGCAGCAGCTGCGGCAAAGAGAAGGAGCAGGGCCCGCGAGCCATAAGGGACCCAGCTTTCCTTCCCCGATGCCCTCTCTGCTCCCCGAGCCCCGGTCAGCGCAGTCAGACGAAGCCCTGGGTCGGGTGTTAGCTGTCTGGTCATGCACAGGTTCTGAAGCGCGGGAGCCCCAAGGCCACTGTCAGCGCTGGACTTGGACATCAAGGACCGGTGAGTCCTGCAGCCTGGGCTTCCATCCTCCCCTCCCTATAACAGGGGTGAGGCAGTGAACCCAGAAGAGGAAGAGGGAGGAAAGCTGGGAATCTCAAGGTTTGCACACCCCTGAGAGCAGGGCTCTTGGGAGCTCTGTGAAGTGTGCACTTCACTTGTCTGTGGAGAAACTGGGCTGCAGCGACTCTGAGCACCAGCTCCCTGCCCGACCTGTGCTCTGTTGCTGGGGGCCTGAGCTGCAGGGTAGTGAATCTCTGTTCTTTTATTTCCTATCCAATGTGGCCTGACATTTTGATAAAACAAGAAATAAAATGCTGGGAAAAAAATGAGGCAAAGAAAGAAAAGAGGCCAGGTGTGGTGGCACCTGTAATCCCAGGGGCTCAGGAGGCTGCGGCAGGAGGATCGAAGGTTCCAAGTCAGCCTCAATGAGGCCCTATTTCTTTTTTCTTTTACACACACGAATAGCATATCATTTTGTTGTTGTTGTTGCTTTTAGATATACATGACAGTTAAGTGTAGTGAGACACTATATCTAAATAAAAAATTTAAAAAGGGCTGGGCATGTGGCTAAGTGCCCCTGGGTTCAATCCCCGGAACCAAAAAAAATACAATAAAAAGGTTCATGCTATAGAAGTCCACTTTGTTTTTGTGACAAGGTCTTGCTAGGTTACCTGGCCTAGCAGGTAACATCCGATTTTTTGAAATACTAGATTCAACAACATAAAACTGTTTTGCCAAACTGCTACCAAGTCTGTAAAACCCTCTTCCTCTCGTCTCTGTACCTGCCAAGGACCTGCTACCACATTCACCCTGAGGGCCTGCTCCTTGGCAGAGCACCTGGAGACTCGCCCGCACCCAACAGACAGGGGTGGCTTCTGACACACCAACCCGCTGAGCTGGGGACTTCCTGGTTTGACTCCCATTGCTGGCCTGAGGCCACTTAAAGGAAAGGACCCAGGACACAGGTCCTCAGCACCCCACCTGGGTACCATGGCTGGGTGTGCAGGCAGGGTGCAGAGCTCTGGTGCACACGGCGGTGACAGCGCCTGATTGGATGGACCTCTCACTGCAGAAGGGCCAGCAGAGCAAGGTGACTGGCAGTCTCAAAGAGTGCGAGAGCCAGCTTCTTAAAAACACTGCCTCGGGTCCTCTCAGCTAAGTGATGAGGACATATTCACAGAAGGCCTTCCTGGTCAGGCGGGCAGCGAGCCAGAGGAGCCCAGGAGAGTCGGAGAGCTGGCAACCCAGGCCAGTGCCTCCCGCTGCCCGGTGGAGTAAAGCTGACACTCAGACACAAACCCCAAGGGGCTGGGCTCGGGGTGGAGCGCTCGCCTAGCATGTGTGAGGCACTGGGCTCGAGCCTCAGCCCCGCATGCAAATAAACGGACAGAATAAAGGTCCATACATCTAAAGGAGATTCAAACAAACAAACAAACAGCCAAACAGCCACAGAGAACCTCAGGGTGGTGTGTGTGGACACGGACTCCAGCACTCGGCCAGAAGGGACCTGGAAATCAGCACAAAGACGACTTTTAGAGACACGAAGCTCATTTCACTCCTGAGGTGACAGGTAACAAGAACAAACAACAAAAATCAGTAACACATCTGGCTAGCGTCCGATTTTTTAAAACATTAGATTCAACAACATAAAACTATTTTGCCAAACTGCCACCTAGTCTCTAAAACCCTCTTCCTCTCATCTCTGTACCTGCCAAGGACCTGCTACCACATTCACCCTGAGGGCCTGAGGGTGGCAGGGCGCCTGGAGACTCGCCCGCACCCACCATCAGGATTTTTTTTTTTTGGCTTAAACAACAGAACTTTACTGTCACATTTCTGAGGCTAGAGATCCATGCTCAGGTGCTGGCAGAGTGAGTCCTCTCTTTCTGGCTTGCAGACAGTCGCCATCTCCCTGTGTCCTCCCATGTCCTTTCCTTCGCCACCATCAGGACTGATCAAACAAGGGCTTTATCAATTTCACCGAGGAAATGGGGGTGCCCCGTGGACAGTGGGAACACCTGGGCTTCTCCGAGCTCAGACCACAGTGTTTAGAGCAGCAAGTCAGAAAGGGAACACCTCGCGGAGACCCAGGAGCCAGAAAGCCACCCTCTGAAGGCTGTGGAGACCACCCACTGTCCTCCTGCACCTGTCATGAGAAAGAAGAAGGGCAATTCTCCGCAAGGCGATCAGAACTGGAGACTTTTTGTGGAGGTCCCCCTTGTAACCAAAGAGCCACAAAGGGCAGCTGAACAGATTTCCCTGGAGAGGACATAGTAAGGGACTATTTGGGGCTTTGAGCCCGGGGTCCCTGCAGTGACAGCTCAACCTGCGTGGCAGCAGTGGAGTGGTCAGGGACGTGGGGGCTGCACAGCATCCTCACTGTCCTCCTAGACACGGGTCCCTGGCACCCGTGTGGCAGACAGGACAGTTTCTCACGACTGGTACTAGTGGCTCCAAACCTTCAGGGGTCCTGAGCAGAGAGAACTCTGTCTGGACACAAACACCCAGTGGCACTCTTTTCTGGTGTGCGCACAGGGGCCTGCATGGCCTCCAAGTGCTTCCAGTCCAGTGGAGGACAGGCACGGGCACTTCCGGCCTGGTGGGATGTGGACAGGGTGTCACTGTGGGAGCAAAACGAGGGCCCAGCCCATCTAGGGCCCCTCTGCAGGAGAGCGAGCCAGCTGTGCAGAAGGAGAGGGCACAGGGCCCAGGAAGGCTGAGTGCTGGCGACACGGACCGTAAGGAGGGCGGGAGGGGCCGCAGACACACAGGCTTGCTCTGACTAAAAGGCCCTGGGTCCTCTTACTGGGGATGCTCCTTCCCCTGAGGTCTCCTCAACTCACTGGGGCCAGGCCCATTCTTCCCTCTGCCCTGCGTTGTCTCCAGGACTCTGTGACCCACACAGAGGAAGGAGCAGCTCAATAAGTACTGCCAGGGACTGGCCTGGGGCTCAGCGGTAGAGCGCTGGCCTGGCATGTGTGAGGCACTGGGTTCGATCCTCAGCACCACATATAAATAAATTAAGGTCCATCAACAACTAATAAAATATTTAAAAAAAAATAAGTACTGCCAGTGGCACCATCTTGACCCTGGGCGTTCGCAGGCCACAGGAGAGTGCAATCCACCGGTAAGAAGCCAGCTTCTGCCAGCCCCATCAACCAGCTGCCTGAGACCCCCTGAGCTCAGGGCCCAAGTGCAAGAAGCCGATGTGCCGTGCTTCTTCCTCCTTACCCATCAGCCAGCCTGCCCTGCTTCTGTGCAGACATCTCCAAAGGAGAGCCCTAGGCCTAGGCTGAAATGAGCTGCCTTTAAACATCACCCATTCAGTTGGGATCCAATCTGTCAACCAACCAGCAGATGTTCCCAGAAAGCACTTGGTTTTCAACAGGGACTACACAGAGTTTCTGGGGAACTAGAGAAGAACCCTCCAGAGACGGGGAACCCCTGTCAACTGGACTTCACCAGTGGTGCACATGGTCTTAGAACCAGGGGGGTCAGAGGCAAACACACAGCACCTGCATCTCATCGCTCTGGTTTTTCTCATTTTTAAAACACTAAGCCTTTTTCTTTCTGTACTGAGATTGAATCCAGAAGTGCTCGACCACTGAGCTACATCCCCAATCCTTTTAAAATCTTATTACATTTTGAGACAGGGCCTCACTAAGTTGCAGAGGCTGGCCTGGATCTTGCGAACCTCCATAGCGCCCGGCCTAAAACAGATGTGCTTCTGAACCCTCTTTAATTTAATTGGAATGTTGTAAGTATTCCTGTTGAGTCTGAAAAGCTCTTAGAAATTTCTGGCTTTAGGAAGATGGAAATAATTCTTTGTGAAAACCATGACTTCTCACACATGGGAAACTTGCAGGCCCCAAAATGATGTGTAGGCAACAGAGGCCCCATTTGAAAGATAAGCCTCCTTAGCAAATACAGCAAAGAAAATCTCAGTCCAGTCACCCCTAGGCTGGCACATGCCCTAGCACCAAGATGATGCCACTGTGGAGTGGCATGTGCAATAGCCCCAGAACTCTCCAACCCAGGGAGGTCCCTGGCAGGGCCAGGTGGGCTGTCCCTGAGCCTGGAGTTTCATCAGGAGAGCCAACACAGCGCATGGGAGCAACCCAGGAAGAGGCTTGGTGGTTGGCTCTTCCAGGTAGCAAGAGTCTACGGGATAGCGCCATGTAAGTCATCACAGGGCCAAAATCATCACCAGGGCAGGGAGTGGGACCCAGGGCCGAGCGCCTCTTCTATTTATTTTTGCAGCACTAGAGATGAAATCCAGGGCATTACATTTGCTCTACCAATGAGCTACATCCCCAGCCTTTTTAAAAAATTTTATTTGGAGACAAGGTGTTGCTAAGTCACCAAGGATGGCTTTGAACTCAAGATCCTCCAAGCTGCTGGGACTGCAGGTGCGACCACCACACCTGGCTGCCAAGTGCTCACTGTGGAGGAATCTGGAAGGCCGCAGAGGCTGCCGTGATGGAGGCTGGGTCCCCAGTGCAGCAGTGTTCAGAGGTGGGGATTGGGGAGGCACTGGATCATGAGGCTCCCATCACTGGATTAATCCACTGATGGATTCATAGATCAACAGGCTGCTGGGAAGTGGAAGAAACTGGGAAGTAGGGTCCAGTTGGAGGAATTAGGTCCCTGGGGCTGAGGATGTGCCCTTCAGGGGGATACTTGGTTCCCAGTCCCTTCTTCTCCCTGCACCTACTAGAGGAGGGATTACCACCCCTGTGAGGGGCATGCTGCACTGTTTTCTTTGAATCTATATTTGCCAGAAAAGAAAAAGTGAGTAAATGAGAAATAAAATGAAAAAGAAGGGGCTGGGGCTGGGGCTCAGCGGCAGAGCACTTTCCTAGAAGGTGTGAGGCACTGGGTTCCATCCTCAGCACCACATAAAAATAAAGATATGCTGTATAAAACAAGAAGGAGGAGGAGGAGGAGAAGGAGGAGGAGGAGGAGGAGGAGGAGGAGAAGAGGTAGAAGAAGTTGAATCTTGGAGTTAAGAACTTAATACTATATGGGCTTTTAGAACCACATAAATATTTCAGGTAACAAAAAAAACATGAAACTTAAAATCTGTATAGATTTTAAATGAAATAGAAACAACCGAATCTAACATTATTAAAATTAAATAATGCAAACTGTAAAACAACTTTGGAAAAAATATTTTGATTATATCTTCTATATTTTGGCTATACATTTCATAAAAATGAAAACTGCACACAAATGTTATATTCTATAGTAAGTAGCTCTGTTTTTCACAGGAATATGGATTAGAAATTCTGAAACTACTTTATGTATATCCCAGGACTGAATAAATCAGTAAGTATATTAAGAAAATAGGAACCAAACTGTGAGAGGTAAGGAGAAGCAGAATGAGTCCTGTGGTAACAGACCAGCTTCAGCGTGAACTCAGTTCTCAGTACACACAGAGACCCATGCATATACCAAATGGAGCCAGGGATCCCTACAGAAATCATGCACTCTGAGCTACATCAAGGACACAGGATGAGCCTGAGACAGCCTGTGATGCCAGAAAGTCAGGAAGTGCTCCAAGATTTGGGGACATGCTCTATGGACACAGAAACCACAGAAGGGGTTCTAAAGCCTCAATCTAGAATAAATGCCAGCAATAGATTATAATCCATGAAACAAAAACAAAATAAAAACATCCATCCTAACATCAAAAATAATGAAATAAACAGAAAAATACAAAAAGGGAAGTTTCTTTCTTATAGAATTTCAACTAATAAATGCAGAAGCAAGAAATTAAAAAATTAATTGTCAGACTGAAGTTGTTGGCTCAGTGGTAGAGCGCTTGCCTAGCACATGTGAGGTACTGGGTTCCGTTCTCAGCATCACATAAAAAAATAAACATATTGTGTCCATGTAGGACTTAAATTTTTTTTAATTATTTTTCAAATGCCACATTAATAATTATTTCAGGTCTGAGGCTGCCAGAGGTAGAAGCGCAAACACATTTCTACACTCGGGCGAATCCTGACTCTCCCCAGCTCCAGGAGGGCAGTGTGGGCAGGTACTCCATCTCTGCCATCTTGGATCAGGGACCCTGAAGCTGCAGTGAAGAAATCCCAGGGAGAACTCTGGAATAACAGTGGCTCTTCAGAACGACCAGGAAACCCAGCGTTTCCTGCAGAGTTTAACAGAAATTTCTTGGATGTGAAGTGTTCCTCAGGGTAAGAAAGAAGACTCTAGGGCCATCCCTGTGTGGATGCCACTGGCCTCCCACCTCCCCAGGACCAGTCCCCGCCTGCCGCTGAGGTCCTCCGGAGGACATGCTGAGGTCCCTCCACCTGTGGTCCTCAGGGAGGACCCTCAAGTGCCTACACGAACCCTGTGGGTGGGGGACGGCAAGTCCAGGTGCCCTAACACCGGTGGCCGTGATCAATGTCTCCTCACTCTGATCCCGATCCCACATAAAGACGCGTGGCCACTGCTCGGAATTCTGTCGGAAAGAAGCGGAGCAGTGTGATTCTGTGAACTCCCGAGGCGCTGCTTTCCCTGCCCGAAGTAGCAGAATGCAAAGGGTAAAGGACACCAGTCACTCCAGGAAACACTCGCAGGTGCTGAGGTCAGCGGCCCGGGAAGAAGCAGGACACGCAGCTCGCAGCGTCCCCACAGGAGGCACTGACAACCCAGGAAGTCCCGGCACACGAGGAACGGGGCAGCCCGGGCACCACGGTCTGCCGCTGGGCACCCCCGGAGGCGGGGAACCTACCAGCCCTGCGGGGACCTCGTGCCCCTGCAGGGAGGAACCCGCCACCCCTGCGCGGACGCACCACCCGGTGGGGAGAGTCTCGCCCCAGCGCGGCCCGAGCTCCACCAGGGAAAACCCGGCGGGCCCCGCGCCGCTCTCCTGCCGGCCGGCAGCAACTTACGCCGGGCTCGCCCGCCCTCGCCGCGCTTCGCCCAGGCCGCCGCACTCCGCCGCACCCCGGGACCCGCGCTCCTGATCTCCCGCTCGGCGTCTTCCGGGCAGGCTGCGTCGCCATAGCGACCCGAGTCCGCCGGCCGCGGTCCGGGTGCGCTGGCTGCGGCGCTCGGGTCCCGCCGGCCGGAAACGGGAGCCGCGGCGCCGGGTTCCGGTCTTCATTCGCTCGGCACTCCTCGCGGGCGCAGAGGGGAGCCGAGCCTCGGCGGCGACAGTGGACGCGACCCCCAGGTGGGGGGATCAGTGCGCCAGGGCTCGCACGCGTAGTCCCCCGCTTTCTCACCCAGCAGGGGGCGTCTGAGGACCGCCAGAGCCGCCTCTCCCGCCAGGGGTCGAGGGTCCCGAAGTGTGGATTTTAGCCTGCTTGGGTGGCTTGGGCGGCCGGGGCGGCCGGTGACACAGGAGGGGCGGTGGGGAGCCTCGGGCTCACACGGGGACTGCACATAGTGGGGTAGGGAGCCTTGGGCTCCCGTGGAGGGCCAGGGCGGCAGCACGGGACAGGGCTGTCGGGAGCCAGGACTGCCCATGGGGGGTGTGGAAGGCTGCGCGTGGGGACCTGCGGAAAGAGGGCGGGTTAAGGCCCTGTTCTCCTCCTGCCTGGGGGCAGGAGCCACACCAAGCCCTCCCCGAAGGGCTGCCTGGGATCCCACACTGCCACGGGTTCAGCCAGATGCCCCAGGTATGGGGAGAATGTCCCCCAGGTTCTTGGTGCCTGTGGGCTGGGTTGGAGAACTGGGGATGGAGTAGGGGTTGGGTTAGTGGGAAGAGCCCAGACCCAGGGCTCGTGGCAGGCTCCTGTCATCCCAGGTTTCGTCTTCCCCAATCATTCAAATCCTCCAAAGGTGTGTATCTGTTCTCCTTATCCTTCTACAGATGGGTACACCGAGTCCTGGCCCTGAGACAGAGCCAGCTCTTTTGCATAGGGCAACATGGTGTCATCCCTAAATCGCACCTGCATCCCGTAGCCCTCCCCCCACCCTCCATTAGGTGCTTTCCCTCCTTGCTGTCCCCATTCTCTGGGCTCATACATGGGGCCCTAGCTGGGACCCCTCTCTGGCTCCTCTGCTCTAACCCTTATCCTTCTGCCCTTACCCTCTGCTTGTCCCTGGGTCTGTCTCTGGCTGGATTAGAGCTTGTTCTGTTGGGAGGCAGGGCCCTGCAGGGGTTGTGCGGCCCAGGGGTCAGCTCCAGCATCCACAAAGATGCCCACACCCCCTGCCTCTGCCCGATCTAGCCCTGCTCCTGGGTGCTTCCGTTGGGGGTGGCAGGTTGAGTTGGAGCCTCCAAGTCCATGAAAGTTGAGGGGAGCCTGCCTGAGCTGGGTGCCTGAGGAGGTGCTGCACCTGCGTGTCTCGGCTTCCTCACCTATAAAGTGGGCATCTACCAGAAACCATGTGCCATGGACCACATTGTGTCCCCCAAAAGTTATATGTTGAAGGGGATGGAGTTGTGGCTCAGTGGCAGAGCACTTGCCTAGCATGTGTGAGGCACTGGGTTTGATCCTCAGCACCACATGAAAATAAAATTTATGTAACTATAATTTTAACAACTAAAATTGTCACATTCTCGGCGACAAAAACACTCAGGGTCACTCCAGGGGAACTGGGCTGCGCGAAATAACCACACGAGACAGAGATACCTTTTTCTTTGGGGGTCCTCTGACTTTAAGAATCTGCAGAAAGAGAGAGCGAGCAGGTGCTGACCCCTTTTATTGAGGAGAAGCTATTCAAATGAGGCAAAGGGTCAGGTTTGGGGGGGCTGAGTCTAGCTTCCTGAAGTCTGCTGTCAGCAGGTTGACTGACATCTAGGTGGGCCACACCCAAAGGCAGAGCAAGAGAAGGGGACACACAAAGGGGGTTTCCATGGAACATTCTATCCCAAACAGGGCAAAGGGTTAATGTCACAAAGGAACAGGTGAGCACAGCTCGACCCATAGGCTGCAGGAAGGCACACCCATGCATTAAGACACTTTTTGTGACATTTTGCGACTTCCAAGATTGGGGCAGCCATCTAAGGCCACGTTGATGTGGCCAGATCACTTGGAAGTGACCAACAGAGCCTCAACTGATCAGGGAGGGAAAATGCTGGTCACTCAGTGTGATGGCCTCCCACATCAATTTTTTTAAGAAAGTTACACGTTGAAGCCATAACCCCAGTGGGACTGTATCAGGAGGTGGGGTCACAGGGAGAGACCCTGATCCAGGAGGATAGGACAGGCCTCCTTACAAGAAGAGGAAGAGGCCACAGGAGGGACACAGGAAGGACAGATGAGGCACAGGGAGAAGGTGCCATCTGCAAGCAGAGCAGAGAGGCCTCCAGACAAAGCAGCACTGCCTGCCCCTGCTCTCAGAGGCCCAGCTCCAGGGCTGGGAAGTGTCTGTCACATGCAGCATGTGGCTATGGCAGCCTGCGCTGAGACAGTACATCATAGGCAACCATGCTTGGAACTGTATGGTGGACAATTTCAGCATCATTGTTCTTCCAGGGTCAGGAGTAGGGAGCCGTGGGGCCCACAGCCTACGTTCTAATCCCAGAGCAACTCAGCCAGGACAGCTTGGGCTAAGGCCAGGCCTCCCTCAGCCATACTCCCCACCTAGGCAACCCCTGCACCCAAGTTCCCTCCAATACCAGCTTGAGGGTATGTGGCACTCACCTGCCCACCCCTGTAGCCTCCCGGGACACCAAGCCTCTGCCCGTCAGCACCTCTTCAAGGCAGAGACTGTTCTTCACTTATTTATTTATTTATTCATTCATTGGTACCTAGGATTAAACCCAGGGGTGCTTAACCACTGAGCCACATCCCCAGGCCCCTTTTTATATTTTATTTAGAGACAGGGTCTTACTGAGTTACTTAGCACCTTGATAAGTTGCCGGGGCTGGCTTTGAATCTGTGACCCTCCTGCCTCAGCCTCCCGAGCCACTGCGATTATAGGCGTGTACCACCACACCTGGCTGAGGCTGTTCTTTGTCCTGGACACCTTGGCCTGAAGAGGTCCTTCTTCAGCCCTCACACACCCACACCTCCCTCCCCAGCTGGACTCTCCCTGAACACACCTCTTGGTGCTACTGGCCAGGATCTGGTTGACAAAGACTGCATTTATCTCATCTGGAGCCCAGCACCATCAGGGTCAAAGAAGAAAGGGACAGGACATGTATTGGAGTCCTGGGACTGCCATAACAAGGCCCCTGAACCTTTTTTTTTTTTTGGTACCAGGGATTGAATTCAGCACTTGACCACTGAGCCACATCCCCAGCCCTATTTTGAATTTTTTTTAGAGACAGGGTCTCACTGAGTTTGCTTCGTGCCTTGCCATTGCTGAGGCTGGCTTTGAACTGCAACCCTCCTGTCTCAGCCTCCTGAGCCGCTGGGATTACAGGTGTGTGCCATTGGGCCTGGCCCCCTGAACCATTTTTAATGGGTATTTATTTTTGCAGAGTTCAGAATGCCAGCAGGCCAGGCTCCCTCCAAGGGGTCCAGGAGAGGGTCCTCTGTCTCTTCTAGCTCCTGGGTCGTGGCTATCCTTGTGTCCTCAGCTGCGGCCACCTCACTCTAACCCCTGCGGTGGCTACTACGTGGCCTCCGTGGTCCTCTTGACACTCTGCTCTGCTCAGGACACCAGTTATGCTGGACCACCCTACACCATTATGATCCTGTTCCCAAGTAAGGTCACATTTGAGGATTTGTGCCTGACTTGTGACTGCTTTCCCTGAGGTGACACTGGGACTAGAGGCCCCCCTCCATTGCCCTCATCACAGAGGCCAAAGCAGAGTGGCTCAGACTGAGGGACGCTGCCTGGCCCAGTGAGTGGTGCAGCTGGGACCCGCCCCTCCCCACACTCCTGTGCACAGCTCGTGGGGCAGGTCCTAGTGGGGGCTGGCTGTCCTGCTCCTGGCAGTGTCCCTGGCTCCAGGGCCCTGTCCAGCCCAGCACAGAGGCAGAACACACGAAAGGCAGGCCTTAGTTGCCGGGTGGCATAAACAAGGGAGAGCAAGAGGCAGGCCAAAAAACCAGGCGTGGGCCAGGGCTCTCAGATCCCCAAATACAAGCTGCTTACTGGACACTTATCAGAGAATGCCCCTGGGGTGCAGCTGCACCAGGGGGGTTGCTCAAGGAGGCCTGATCCTAACTGACCACTAGGACTCAGCACCTTCCTCTGATTTTTGCTATAGGCTGACCTCACCCCCAGGCTCCCCGAAGGTTGTTAGCTTCAGGCTCCCCGAAGGTTGTTAGCTTCAGGCTCCAAGCCTCACCTAAGGTCCAAAAACCATAGTGATCTGCTCAGAAGTTTGGGTGGGGGCCCTGCCTGGACACCAACCTGCAAGGATTTGGGAAAGGCCTGAGACAGGCATCTGGGCAACTGCTCCATCTGCTGGCCTCCCAGGCCCTGGGGGCAGGAGGCAAGCTGAGAGAGGAAAGGGGATGTGTGGTCAGGCTGTCCCCTGTTCCCTGGGGCCATTCCAGAAGGAACAAGGAGTGGGCACAGACACTTGGGCAAATTCCCTGCTGAGTCCCAGGGCAAGGGGAACGTAGTGGAAGAGCCATAATCTCATTCTGGTACATACTGTCACCTGCACTTTACAGACGGGGACAAAGATGTAGATTAGGTGAGGGGTCAGGGGAAGATGTCTGCCACATGCCTCCAACATGTGCCAGTCTCCAGATGGCCAGCAAAATGGTATCTTGCCTCCTAAGGGCCAGGGCTGCCCAGGAACAGGGCCCTCAGCCTGGGTCTATTGGCCTGGAGGCTGGGGGCCTAAGGAAGAGGCTCTGGAAAGGACAAGGAGGACTGGTCTTAGGCAGAGGGAACTGGGTAGCCCAATGCAGCATCAGAAACAGCCCAGTAGGAGCCTTGGGCAGTGGGCTACTTCCCAGAGGTCAGGAACTGGAAGCAGAGCCAGGTGCCCAGTGCATACGGGCAGGATGGCAGTGTTCTCTGAGAAGCTGGCCATCTTGTTTTAGAAAGAGAATGACCATGGTGGTGGCATCCAC